AAACATACTTTTTGAAACAAACTTATATTCCTATATTCCAATATTGTACCAGCATCATCTTCACAATGTCAATCTATTGCGAATCCTGTCTTAATCTTATACCTTGATCGACTTATATGGCGTTTTGAGGTGTGATTCACAAGGTTGGATAGCGTTGAAACATACCTTTTGAAACAAACTTATATTTCTATATTCCAATATTGTACCAGCATCATCTTCAAAATGTCAATCTATTGCGAATCCTGTCTTAATCTTATACCTTGACTGTCACCTGTTGTATGCGAATGCAGCCAATCATAGCCCTCGACAGACTGACTGCAAATACTATGGTTTAATTTTTTGTCGAGGATTCTGATTGGCTGTATTCGATAACATACAATCTAACCAAATCGTTACATATACACACTTCCGTGACACAAGAAAGGAGGCTATTGCCGTCAAGTAAAATAACGAAGTTCGTAATAGCTAGACTTTGTGAAAATGGATACATCATATGATTGTTATTAGACCAGATTATTGGTTTTGGTAAACATCACTTAATGTGCAAGATCTAGCTACAATTTTCTGGCAATGCCCTTACAACCCACCAGTTATTCATTTTACTGATACAATAGTGAATGGAAATATTTATATAGGAGGATTTATGAAAGGAAATGAGCAATTGAGAGAATGGGCGTTATTGAAATTATACATTATTAAAACTGTGATTGTCTGTGAGTGGGTTGGTGCTCCTGTGGGGAATCACGCAGACGTTATCATTTTTAGCACAGGGTTTTGACATTTTCTAGACAACACCTAATGTGTGTTGATAGTCAGAACCTCTGAAATATCATATTACAACGTACAAAAGCACCAATTGGAAAGATAAAATTTAAAAGCCAGCACAAGAGAACAACCGTCATATCTGCCACTTGAAATATTATCCAAGAGCCAAAATTTAAAAGTCTGGATTTTGACGAGTTTTCATTGGTGCACTTCGAATGAGAATAAGTACGTTTAATTAGTATTTGGAAAAAGCAAATTCAGCCATGACCGAAGTTCCTTAGCATTAATTTCTGTTGAAGGTAAGATATTCATCTGAAATGGTTCTGTGTTGTAATTTAAAGGACCAACACACACGAACAATGTACGATTGCTGCAGATTTAGATTGGTTGGATGTGTTGCTGGTATCCAAATCTTATTGCATAAGCGTAACAAAACCGAACGCATTAGGTGTGCCGAACAACCAACAACTGAACTTTTCTATGAAAAACCATTGATTCTATCTAACGTCACCAATTTCAAAACTCTAAACATAACCTTCTCCACTGGCCATACATTCAGTGACATCATGTCAACAATCATCAATATTCGTATTTGAGCAAGTTATTAATTTCGTGAATTAAGTATATAAAATATCAGCAAAAAATTTTTTTCAACCATTATCACCTGCACTAAATTGCAGATATACTTGTAAATATGTTTGGTTTTATCTCCTATTAACAATAATATATAATTATTATTTCATTAATATTATCATTTTCTATTTTGGTATGTACATTTAATCATGTAACTGTGGTTTCAGGAGAGGAAATGGTGTATTATGTATGTAATGATGTATTAGATGTTATAAGATATTTATGGGTACTATATGCAATAGCCTGCTTCCCAACCCCTATCAATTGTCTCGAATTTGGTAGTTTTTGGTATTCCACTGATAAAACAATTGAATAATGGCTGGGAAAAGATGTTATGGTAAAATTGATTGGCCATAACAATCGTGGTAAGTATTTTTTAAATAGGCTCTCCACTCCCGACTTTTGGAAGTCTAATTGACATGTATGATTATTTACGTCGCCAAAATAAAAATCAAATTGAAATGTCATTGTTAGATAAATTAAACATCATTGAAAATGGGGCGACATGGGGAGGACATTTGCTGAAAATTAATTCCCTATCTTCCACAACACTAAACCAAATTACGTTGTTCGACTTTTTCACATTGAAAACGCCTTAAAGTACTCGTTTCCGTTGTAAAATCAAAACTTATTTCTTTAACATTATGAACATTGTTCGAATCAATGTATTCTGCACAACGCCATTTTCAAAAGTATGATTCACCGGCTTTATTCGCTCTGCAATATAATTGCTAATAATCTAAACGAGAGAACTGTTGCTCTCAGCTTATATTATTGGAAGAAAAAAAATCGACCAGTGTGCGGTTGTCAATGACAACCAAATGTCAACCAAAAGAATTTCAGGTACGTGCTCACTTCAATATGACTACTTCCCATACGAGAATAAATCAAGTGAACCGTCGACAAGGAAGACCTCTTGGAACATCTCTGTCGTCCTCTGGGCATCATGCCATGGAATTGCCTTGACCATATATGTATTGTGTAACTAGTGTGACGCCTCCTGCATCACCTATATGAAAATGTATCATAAAAAAAGTTTCCTCCTGTTAATCCCGGTAGCTCTGTAGAAAGCCATTAAAATAAAAGTCTGCGCTAACTTCCTGCCTCGTTGTCAAAAAATGCTACGGCGCCCGCCAAAGGATCGGTCGATAGTCGATAAGTCTTTTGCGTTAGAACTACATAATATGTATGGTTGAAGTAGTTAGCGAGCTAAAATCTGTTAAGAATTATGCTTAATCTAGAAGTACCTTTCCCATGTTGCCCCGAATCTATATGGAGACGATGTGGAGTTCAAGGTTTGCTAAAACGTTATTCTGCTAATGTGTCACCTGAAGACAATTTGAAAGGCGCAATGGAAAGTATTATGTCAGGACTATGCCAGATTCGGTGTTCAACCGGCCTGGAAATTCTAAATTCGGTGATGGTACAGTTGAACCATTAAAATCATAACAAGAGGAAATCATGAAAGAACAATATTTAAAGCTTATGTTATGTTAATTCTACCATATTCACAATAATTTGAACAAAGACATTTGGAATACAGAAATGAATAATTAATTATGACAATATCGAAAGCTTGATAATATTTTCTATTTACAATAACATCAAATATCAAACTTAATAAATATCACTTTTAATAACAATCACAAAATACATAAACATCTTTGTCTTTCAAGTGCAGGGAGTTGGGGAGGGGTTTTGGGAGAAAAAATGATAGAAACTACCGTTGTCAATTACCAAACATTGTGATATGCTTGATACTTTCTAAGAATACATTTTACACAGTATGACGACCAATGCCTAAATTTGTAAGGTTGGCAGCTATCTCAAAACCCCCAACGAGAGAAAAAATTGTTTAAACATTGTTTTATGCGAATGCTTCCGAACTATTCATGGAAAGTCATGTTAACGTGCAGCCATCAGACACGTCTTCCTAAAAACCCAATAGAGAGACCCAAGAACGTTCGTGATTATTTACAACAGTTAAAATGTACACATAACAATGTTAAAATATTGAAAACATAACAATGAACAAACAAATAAAACTATATGATATTAGAAGTATACTACTGCACCTTACTCTTAGTTCATCAAATAAGCTTATCTAAGAAGCAAGTCAGTGGTTATCTAAAGGAACAGGTGCAACTATTGATTTTGAGTGAGAAATTTCTGATGGAACTATAAGCCTTACATGAAAAATGACTAGATATTTGGTTCGTATAGAATAGAGGGTATATGTATATTTCACAAAAAAGCTTACATGTCATATTTTTATTACTTTTTGTCGATTTTAAATATTAATCTAAGCTTACTTTTATCAAGAGGTTATTTGTCCTATTATTATATGGTTGTCAGCGTAAGGATATTCAGAAATGGTTACCGATTCGTCATATCGATTCGTCATACCAGTCCTGTTCACAGTGCTTCTATTGGATTTATGCGCTTGGCATGTCAAAGCTATCATTAACTTGGTGATCACAAATTTACCGAAAATGCACATTGAAGGACTGATGAACGCATCTTACCCCAAACCAACATCAAGGCGATCATCATTGCAAATTTGCAGTTCTCTTGGTAACCATTTCTGACTTCCAGATGCATTGTTTGTTAGTGCAGCTCTCTCATGAAAACTATGTCTAAATTTACTATAAAAGAACAAACGATAATGATAATACTGTATTCACATATAAATCACAAGCAACTTGGATATTAATTAGAAAGAAAGAAAGAAACTATAAGACATTTAGTAAAACAGTAATTGAATTGAAACACAAAGACGGAGAGACAAATATCAAATAATACAATTAACGTAGACAACACATATGTATAAATGTGAAAAAATACAAACTTTTTACAAAACACCAAATATACATTAAAGATTAATGATAAAAGCCATCTTCAACTCCACGGAAAAGTACTGAACACGGCCATGTGTACAAAGACTTTTGAATTTCAAAAGCGTACACATACTACCAGCTTCAAGGACAATCGAAGTCCTTTTCACCAAACAGATTTAATTTCAACAGTTCAATCACTCATTGTCAATGATCGTGACCCAAAGGACAATCAAAGCGTTCAATGGGTTACGTTGAAAACGTCCTAGGCACAGTCTTAATATTTCATCATAATGTCAAAAGCATAAAAGCACTAGGTATAATCTATAGTTTGAAACACCCAAAAAGCGTTTTAAACACTATTACGATGATATATCATAAAGGTCTTTACAGCATAATGTGTAATAGTTCATGTCAAAGTATAAACAAGAAACACCACGAAAGGATTTGCGTACATAACTATATCTAGAAACTATAGCAGTTCCAATCCTCTGTGTAGTTAGCTACATTGTTCTGTTACATAAATCTATTAGACAAAACAAAATCGCCACATTTAATAAGTATATGAGATTCACTGCTTTAGAGTTGTGAAGTTCATAACGGTGATCCCATCACTGTCTTTTAACATCCTCGATTAATACACCTAAAAACGAACATGCCCAATTACTGAATGTAATCGCTCTGTTCTGTCTTCTATCACCCACTTATCTTAATCAAACCGACGAATACAATCAAGGGATTGGCAAATCTTGCCCCTCATATCACAGTTTAGATGTCGCAAATATCGAACCATTTGTTGTACCACAAACCTTCTTTCTTGACCCCGTTCACAATCTGCTTCTGTCGTAAATGAAATTTCACATTCTTCCACACATATTCGTCTTTAATGAAATAAATAGCTTGGTCCTTATAAGAATAATATACAGCATCTAAATCACTGGGTAATGGTTCTTCGCCGTCAACGGGAGGAAACTCTTCCGTAATTTTCCTAATTCTAACACAGCAGCCGCTTGTACCATTTTCCATCTTCGGATCGTAAATATAAACCTATAAAATAAAGGTGACACGATTAAATCATGAAATCTAGAATCAGAAATGGGGAGATCCATCATCAAAATCGCTGAGAACAAAACAGTGATCTTCGCATGAACAGAAAACAGAAAAACGCATATTGTAATCTCTAAACTTCTGTTTCCTCTTGCGAGACCACCTGAAAGAACAATGTCCTTGAGGACCAAGTCAGGCAATAGCATGGTGTATGTCATACTGGCCCTTATCCCACACTCTAATCTATTCATCTGGAGAAAGCGAAATACTCACCATATCATGTTTGAAGAAATAAAGGTTTTTATCCCGCATATCAAAGTAGACAGTATCAATATTATCTGGTATCACGTCTGTTTTACCTTCCATTGGTCCAAAACCTTCTTTAATATCTTTAGGATAGCCTTCCAATACAGAATCCTCGTCACTATCATAGGCATAAAACTTCTCTCCTAAAAATAGACATAGATTATGGTCAGTGTAACTACATAGCCAGTAGGGAATCAAAATCAAATCAGTACAGATCAGTGATATAAATTTTTAATGTGGCACTTGTTCCACAAACAATACGTTAGGTCGATAGATCTATGTCGTTTTGATATTCTAAATACATCCACGGTTTTCAGAATGAAAGGTACTGAACATAGGGTAATTAGGTGAGCAGACAACAAATTTGTGTCTTCCTCCTTATTCAAATAGTATCTCTTGCAATACTGAAGGCTTTTACCGATTGAATAATTGAACTAACCTTTAAAGAAATATGCTTTATCGACTATGGCACTTCCCGCAATGTACCAAATATGAGCATAACCATCAACTAAGTTAGGCACACCACTCCATTCTCGAGCAATACGTAAAGGATCGCCGTATCTGGTTCTGTTGGCATGATTCTCATACATCCAGTAGTGATTATCTCGGAAGAAATATGTGTTGAAGATAAAAGAATTGTCAGGACGCTTTCGAACCCAGTCCAACACAGTGCTGAATTTACCTTTACACACACCTACAAATAGTAATAGGAATTCAATAATATCTTAAATAGCCACAGGAAGCCGGTGCGCCATATAAAATTGGGTTCTTCAGCAGAATTAAGTGGTATCCATCAATATAGATTTCCGCGAGCCATGCAATATACGGTCAAGTGCAACGTCTAGTCAATATTGTGGGCAGATTATTAAATTATTAATTACGACACCTACCATATATGGCCTGTACAGCCTTTCTGTCTAGAGGATTCAATTCAAACGATGGTTTAGAGTTCAACTTATTATAGATGGCGTACATGATGGAGTACGTCTTATTGGTATGGGGTAAACCAAGAACATGACCAATTTCATGTACGGCTATCCTTAATAAATATATTCCATCTGTACTGCGTGTTTTGATAGATTTGTAATTTTCATCATCATCAAAATGCATGTTTCCACCAACCCATGAATGAGCAACTTCTCCTCCTTGACCATCGAAATCTTGTTTACAATTGCCATGTGATCCTGAAAGTGGGTAATATTATTCAGTATTCAATACATATTGTCTTATTTATATTAAGCCATCTTACACAAAACGGACGATCTATCTAAAAACACAGTGGCGTTGCTGAACTTGCAATGTGAAAACTATAATTTATCTTGTAAATATTTTTGTCTAAGGTGTATATGGCAATTTCAATATTTTAATCAAATCGAGAATGTGCATGCCTGGCTGTTCTGAATAACTGAATGTCTAAAATCTTTGCACCGGTTTTAGAAGTACATGTATAAAATATAAATGTATTCGCTGCAATGGTATACCGCGGGGATAAAATTTACACTCATAATATATATATGTTAATCTATTCCATACTACATGGAACTATATATGAATACAAACGATATTATGTTACATTACAATTGCCCCGTTTGTGTTAAAACAATATCATATGCTCTTAGTTTTGCTGTTGGGTCATTTATTTTGTCAAAGTCTTTGGTAATGAATCATGAAATGTAAACAATAAAACGTCACAATGTAACCGTTTTCAACATTTTAGAAACTTTGCAGGTCTGCATGTCAAATCATACACGATCGTGACTCATTCTATGACCACGAATTCTTCAATTTTGAGTACAATGTACCAAATTGTTTGTTTTGATATATGACAGAACGATTAAGCCTTAAAATTAGGACAGACACATTATTTTACCGTAACCTTTCAATTTGTATCAAGTATTCCAGTTACCATATCGTAATGCGTTTCAAACTCTGACTGTGGGGATATTTTTGTAGATTTTCATAGGGTTTCAAGTTGATGTTGTCGTGGTTTTAGTTTAAGTTTGAAAATGAAAGGTGTAAATTATGGTGTCAACATTGGTTGAATGAGTAACTCTTTAATGTTTGAATATCTAATTAGTTACAAGAGGCAATAAAACACAAATATTTTTTTAATTTATGTTTATAAATGGAGTAAAATGACGCGATGTGTGTCATCGCTAACACTTCTCTATCCACACGTGTTTTATGATGTTAGTCCAGAATACTTAAGGTGCAAATCCGACATGTATAAAGTATGCGATTTAGGTAACTTAACCACATTTTACTTTCTGTGTTTGTGGACTTTACGATTGCTCTTGTCACCTTCAACCACGAAGAACTTTGATAGGTTTTAAGAGGTGAGCATGGCTTTAATGGGATATTCGTAAAGTTAATGATTCCACAGATGGACGAACTATAGGCTTGCATAAATCATTAAAGCGCATCATCACCACTTCAAATAGTATGCTCAAGAAGAGCACCAATTCGCACCATTAGTAGATGAATTAGTCCCAAATTCTTTGTTATGCATACGATAATATTGAGAGAGTTATGTTTTGGTTCAAGTTTGGTGTTCAATTTCGTCTCCAAGTAAACTAATCACAATATATGACTGATATGTTAATTGTATACTGCACAAATGGCAGGATGTGACTGCACATTAAGTATTTAGTAAAGTGTACAATTTAACAGTGAATTGAAGGTTAGGGGAGGTTTGTTGAGTGTGATTATAAATATTATCTTATTTATTTAACCTTCCCATTATATGCGATTTCAAATTACCAACTATTAAGGACACGCGCTTTAATTCTTAAAATATGTTTAAAAAGAAAGTACGATTTTTAAAGACTATTAGTCATGTTTCTGACCCCAATGAGTGTTCATCATCAAGTAAGAAATTTGTTTCGACAAAAGTTTACTATGGTTTCGGGTGTAAGTGGGAAGGTAAAGTGTTTATGTCTAAAATCAAAGCATCGATGGTGTTTTCAGAAAATTATGATTATGAAATAGTATATAACTATCGTACATTGTTGTTCGCCAACATCATAAAATGTGTTCTGGATTTGCTCTTTCAACAACCAAAACATTGAAATACGGTGGTTGGGTGCACAATTAATGATTGTCAAATGTGATTAGTGAAAAAACTGTCATACCTCTGCCAAACTCAACTTCAATATCGACATGCCTGATATCACCAGTTAAATCTTCCACAAACTTTAGAGGCGTCACTTCTGACCACATTCTGAAAGCTAAATCAATAGTGGCTCTCTGGTCTTCAACTGGAATATGCGTGCTATATCCAGTTGATAACAGTCGCCATCGAATCTCATTTTTCTTCCAGATTAAGTCCTTAGATTTTAATTCCTCTTCCGTTAAGTGATTGGTCTCATTTCTATTACGATTGTCCTTAATGATCACAGAACGTTTTTGTCTATCCTCGTGCGTATATGGTTTTAACATTTCGGGATCTTTATTTCCCATTCGAGTCACATATTCTTGTAATAACCGTTTGCGAACTTCCATGATGGAACTTCCAGAACCACTGGTTATAACGTTGTACAGTTTGTTGGTATTTACAGAACGTTTCCACATCCGTTGATGTGGCGGGCTCGACCGATTCGAATCTGGATCGGATTTGTCTTTAGATACCTCATGCCCTGATGACAAACCAGAGTTCGTTTTGGTATCTTTAGATATTTCTGTAGTTGTGTTGGTTTTTAATTCCGGCGTTTCAGTATCTTTGTTCCCGCACCGCGTCGTACTCATAAGTTTTTTAGTTTCCTCGTCTAACACCCCGGTTTCACGCAAATTATACGTTTTTTGATATTCTTTAATTGCGTTTTCTACTTGCGATTCATCACAGGCTTGTTGTTCCGCTTGACCACCTTCTTCTGTCATCGCCATTCCAAAGCCAGGTAGCATCTGAACACCTCTTACATCGCGCTTGTGCCGCGACACTTTACAACTTAGGTATCCATATTTTTCTAATATGACCTGAAATGATAGAAATGAAATGTTAAAAATTATAATCAAAAAATTACAGATCATAGCAATGTGCCATCTTGATATTGTTGACACACATTCGTGGGAGTATATATACAATCTACGAAGAAAAGGCAATTTGTGTACGTTAGACAGATATAAAACAAAGACAGGGGTGACAAGGTGGATATAAAGGTATTCCTTAAATCTGGCATCAAATATATGTAAATTTATAACAGAGATTGTTGGAGGGCAGGGCTGCTTCTTACATAGCTTTTATTGTTTATATGAAATAATCTTGCCAGAGGACCAAAGTATCAAATCAAAGTACACCAGCGACCGAATGCCTAATGGAACATGAAACTATTTCTGTATCCAGACAGACTGTATCCAGAATGAATTTGATGCTTAACACCTGCAAGAGTTTATATGTGTTTGAAGTCAGCTAATTCAAATAAAATCATAGGCGAAGGGGCGTCGTTAAAGCAAAACCCCAAATCAATCGTTTGAGAATAATTGTAGAAGTGCCCTATCGATGCAACATATATTCTGCTGATTTTGTGACCTAATACATGTAAATCAACTACACGTGGCTTTTAACCCCATCGTTACGTTCGTTCCAAAAAGTAACTTTATGTCTGAATTTTCCATGAATGGTTTAAAAGGGCATTTAACACCTTTCCTACTTCAAGTTAACCATTGAGTTAATAGTAAAATTTGTATTGAAAATAAAGTGTTTTATCAATTTGAACAGATATTTTTTAACTAAAAATGTTATCATTGATATTAAAGGCGTATACTTTCTTACTAAATTAATGAAGACACTTCATAAGAGGGTAATTTTAACACCCTTGTATAGTAAGCTAACACTTCATATCACACTTTTATAGCATTCTTATCTCTTAAACACAAAACGTCTCAACCTTCGTGTAATTAATTCGTTCGATTGTCGATTTGACACAGTATCTTTCCTAAAATATATTTCTACTCAGGATCGTTCTGTCAGTCAATATTCATCATGCTTACGATTAATGTAAAATTCGATCGCACACATGCAACCAATGAGGCGAATGGTTATTAATACCGTCAAGGAAGCAAACCATCGCACTAACAAATTGAAACAAGATCGTTCTGACGGTTAATGAGACAAGAACTTAATGAACGCCTGAGGGACTGCTGATAATGCAGACAGTGAGAGACAAAAATGTGCCGATTGCTGATGAGACAATATGTCATGCAGGCAATATGATTTAACACCGTACTTCCGGCCTATATGACAAGAGACAGTTACTCATTCAAATCATCGTTTTTGCTGTCTATGCATCATAAAACATTCACAACCAATGTGACAAAAAGAAAAACTTAACCATATAAAACAAGTCATACAGATCTGATTCATAAAATACGATTTTACACCAGGTTTTACCGGTTATATTATGAATGGAAAGTTACTGTATACTCTTTGATGTTATGAAATTTGAACTACATATTAATATTTTAATTTCAATAAACCAACTTTAATAACTTTATTAAACTTCATATCAATCTTGATTTAATTGATTTAAAATCATTGCAAACTGAATTTCATAATAAAATTTGTAAATAAGTAAGATACGAGTCCAAGTCATTCTAGGATCATTGCAGATACATGTACCATAATGACGGTTAAATGGGAACTGAAGGTAAGTGCATCGCTGCCTACGGCGTATGGCACCTCGAAGAATCTTTCCGGCTGTTGGTCAGGTGAAGCTTCCACAAGTAAGTTAGTTGAAACAGTTGACGTGACAGAGGAACCACCACAGTCATGTGGCAAACCGAGACATAGTGTGATATCTGCTGCACGAGTTGAATACCACGGAAGGAAATCTTAAATCAATGGAGTTCGTCGCTTCTGGCTTCTTTGCGCAAAAGATAGCTTGACGCCGGTCGTTTGAACATTAAATGATACTAAAGGCGATACATCTGAGGTTAATCACTTTGTAATCTACGAGGATAACATGTCTTTTGATGAAGGCGTTGGACACCTCAAGTTTTCTAACGTGTTTACTAAATAGTCAGATTATCTCAACAGGTTTCTGTCTTTAAAAAAACTTTAATAGATTTTCAACACACGTCGTCTCAATTACTTTGATGTTTTTGTTGAGTTTAAAGATTATAATTTGGTTGTTAATTGTCGGTTGTTGTAGAGGAAATGTTTGAAATGTCTATAGCTGTGTTGTATGAGACTAGCTGTTTGTTGTAAATCATTTTCTCACTTCGTGTGGTCTGTCTTCATTGCTCTTCTCTCCGACCTTCAACTTAACACATTCTCTTTGAAGACCGAGATTCAGTTTTAAAATGTCAGACTTCTGAAATTTTCTTTTATTTTTCTTCAAGTTTTAATTATGTCTGTGTCTTGGCCAAGTTGAAAGTGGGTTTGGCAGATGTGAATTTCGGATGCACATTACACTACCTACTAGAGTAGACCACCATACTCTACTCTCTATTGCTACAAAACACCTCGATTACAGTTTGTATGTTAGATAATTGTTTCATCAAATATATTTTGATTCGAATAACTTGTCGTTCGCTCGAAATATGTTTTGAAATTATACTATACAATAAACCGAGATCGAGAAGGAAATTTTCGCGTTTTTATATTCTCTAGCCCTTGTCAGTGGTACAGAGGTCGGAACACATGAAAAAATGTTAAGTTGTCGAATAAAACAATCGAATAAAACCTCTTCAGCCAGAGTTTATACATGATTAACGATCCTTCGTCAGTTGGATATTTAAAACAAAAGTCTTCATATGTCAAATCAGCTGCACGAAAGGATTATGAGGCTTTCAACAAGAAACGAAATATTGTTTAAATATTAAAAACAAAAGATTAGCAGTACAGCGATTGTAATCAGACTATGTCGATATATAACCTCACACACTATTATTACCTTACATCAAAACGAGTTCCAGTGTCTAATAAATCATGCTTATTACGTCATCAAGTTTGAAAATGGTGTAGTTGATGATGGATTTCATGTTCCAAGTGAAGAATTGTTGGCAAAACATCTTACAAACAAAAAGTTAAAAAACAGTTCAAGGGTGTTAGTATTGTACCTCCCTGAAGTCGACCAATATTTATTTCAAGGTTGTGCTGGAAGCCGCCGTATGCCAGCTGATGTTCGTTAATATAGGATTATATATACATACTAGTTTAATATTTAAAGGAATGCGTTGAAAGCATCCGTGATAGCCGCAAGTGTCTTAAGGAAGACATTTGTAGATGAGAGGACTTCACATGTCACTATTGTACTTTCATATGTTATAGTTTTCACAATTCAAAACGCCAACCAATTTCAACTTATTCGAAATTTGATATTTGTCATTTGGACTGTTATGTCACACTTGTGACACACAGTGTTGAGCTTTTATGTTCGATACTTTGCACCATTATATTGTTATAACCAGACAAAGGTCTAAAAGTTAAAGTTGAATCAAGTTCTGTTTGGTCTAGAGTGATATAACTATATTTAATAAATTACTAAAAATATACTTTATTTATACGATTGACATTTCTAACATTTCATTGTAAAATACTCAAATGTAATATTAAACATTTCTAGAATTCACCTACATAGATATTTCTATACCAAAAGGTCATTAGCGATAGATTTTGTTATCCTTTTTGGAAAAGAGTTATCTTGAAAAATCGTGTTGAAAATTCATTTTATGAATTCATATATGAATATGTTTCCTAAATTTCGTGTTCTGTGGTTCTTGACAAGTTTGACGAAGTCAAACCAGCCTTATTTCAAATATCATTAAAATCAGATGGCAAAGAAAAATTGTTATCAAATCCCTTAATGGTTTGTGGCGGTTAGAAAAAGGATTTTCGAAATAGAAATTAAACAGGTTTTGCGTTGCATTATTTGGATTACTGAAAAGCACTACTTTCGGTGTGTATTGAATAGCAGAAAAGGGTTTTATTATGGAATGAACTTCTTCAAACTTTGCATCTGATAGAAAAAAATATTGTAAGCTCCTTGTAAATGATGCCCATTTATGACAATTATTTCCTTGTTCCTTGTTATGTTAAGATTTATCATCTGGCATTACTTAAATGGAAACTTACCTCTGCATCGTCCTGGCTTTTCACCACGTATTCTGGCTTCTTCCTCATGTATTTCATTTGATCCCTGTGGTCACGTCGTAGAAAAAAATGTTCCCCAACACAAAAACTCACAAACGTGAAAGCAATATTTATCACCGATAACAATTGAACACACGACAGCCGCATGTTTTGATTAACAATTCATCAAAATAACAAACACACTTCGGCATGGAAGTTTAAATAATTTCACTTAATTCGTAAAATAAATCTTCAGCTTTTTGTATATATTGATTAAATACACAATCCATAAAAATTAAACACTCTTTGAAATTGATTCACATTGCTAATCCAGTAGTGGTATAGATGATGCTTTATTATATTCGAACGTTCAGAATCCAGACTAAAAGAATGTGAGGTTTGGAATCGTATAAATATGTCGCCTGTCACCTCTAATGAGGAGGGTGGTATCGTGAAAAACTACACATTGAAACAACTATCTGTATTCCACCAACTTATATAATCGTCAACTTTCTTGAGATTTTTTTAATGTGTCTACGTCACTACGACACTTGAAGCGTCACTCCCTCGTTTCCTGCAAAAAAAGAAAGATGAAACCAGTTACATATAATTTCCCGTCAATGATTAACGGAGGACCTGCAGTCAAGGCAGACGTGAATGAAATAATTAATGATGTTGATAAATTAATTAAGTGCTATATTGACTAGACTGGAAATTGTCTCAAATTAGGATCAAAATTCCTGTAACCGCCTACAATAAACAAGATCGGTGACAGTTATATACCATTTTCTTTTCTAAATTTAAAAAGACAGAGGAAGGCACACAATTGCACGAGGTTGAGGGAAAGAGCGTGTAGGAAGGACTATGTCTCATAAATTTCACATCATTTCATGCATGGATTGTGGTTAATCTTACACATTTATAATAATCATGGGAAGGAACACGTTTTCTTTTTAGCTTATATTCCAGATAAAGTCATGGTAATGGCGTTAATACATGGGCGACCCAGGCCTGGCAGTCGTCTTGACATTACAGATTGTCAAATATATTAATGAATTGTATGTTAAATTTCTATTCATGTCAAATTCAAAGGAAACGGAAACTATCACCTATCACAATCAAGAATCATAGGTAACAAGGATAAGTTGTCAAACTGATATATATCAGTATGAATACTCCTGGATATTCAAAGATAATATATCTATGATTAAGATTTAGAAAGATATATCTGACAAGAAGCCAATTGTCTCCTCCGAACGTGCTCCAGTCGCACTCACAAACCACCGTTTAATAAATCTAAAACATGATATATCCGGTGTGTTAACAGACGATAAAAAAGGTGAAAGATTCACAGATTAGCTTCGTTTTTCATTTACCTTCATATCTCATTCATAAGTTCTAAATTATAATCCACTTCATTTTGATTGGTAAATATCGTATACACATGATAATATTAACCAATCAAAGGACCTTGTCATAAATCCCATTATATTGCATTAAATTACACCCCAGATTTTACTATCGATAAGAAAGTTTTGGACAGACTGAATTTTGTTTTACCAACACTTTACGGTTATTATTTAAATCCTTTTTTGAATGATTGTTTGTTTTGTTATCATGAAATCACATTTTCGTCTCAGAAATCACCCGATAAACTTGAGTTTTGACGTAGGTGATGACGTAGATGACCATTAATATTGCTACGCACTAATCTCAAATCCTGGCACAGAAACTTATTTATTTGACAAATCAATCCGTTCAATTCTCATAATAGGTTTGTATTACTGGTTGAAGACCTTTGCCTTTAACACCATACAGTATAAGGTGTTCAAGACTTGGCAGCAAGTGCTTTAGAAGATTCAGCACCAATTGCTCCAAAAGACTTAGCACATTATATAAGAAAACACCATGGATCTGGATCTCACAGCGAGGATGAAGATGAGATTTTATCATTTTCAACTGCAGCCTCTTGCTGTGTGACAAATTTAGATCTACGAAAGGGTGTATCGCATTGACGAACTCAATTAGAAGGTTGCCATTAGTGTGAACAGACACATATAGTTGTGACGTGCTTCAAGTTAATTTATCACTTAAAGACTTGATCTCAGAAGTTTCAACGTCTGGAGATGACCCTTACATTGCAGCAACGCCCATTTCCTGATTCTGATTACAATAACACGCTTCCACAAGTATAGCTTGAAGAAAACCCCAACAAACTGAGAGATTCGCCTTGTCAAAAAACTCATTTTTAATACAAAATGACAATTTATGCAGTTACAGAAAATTCTGTATAGTGAAAACGCCCAAATTTTGTCATTTTCAAAGACAAAAAAGTCTGTGAGCTGGGCTCGACATTTGTTCAAGTATGTTATTTACGACAACGTTATGTCAAGAAGGCAATGAAATAAAATTCTAAATGGCTATAAATAATATTGACAGAATTCCTGTCATTTTTCAATCAATTATAAAATAATAAAGTCAATCCCGTATAGTTTATGACAGGCAAATTTGATAAGACTTTTCAACAATTTCATGGACGAATTTCGAAGTTTAAATACCTTAAGTATTAATTTTTCTATGTGGCAAACCACATTGATTTGGCGAGGAAGGTCTACAGTCCCCCAATGTCCAATAATACTTAGAAGCAAGTTCTGATTTGAACAAAGCCTAACATCCGACTCTCATCCCTGGAACACCAAGAACTCATGACACGTGTTACTGAAAAGTAAGGAAAGTGCCAGTGTATGTGGAAGTCAGGAAGGTGCCAGTGTATGTGAAAATCAGGAAGGTGTCAGTGTATGTGGAAGTCAGGAAGGTGCCAGTGTATGTGGAAGTCAGGAAGGTGCCAGTGTATGTGAAAATCAGGAAGGTGTCAGTGTATGTGGAAGTCAGGAAGGTGCCAGTGTATGTGGAAGTCAGGAAGGTGCCAGTGTATGTGGAAGTCAGGAAGGTGTCAGTGTATGTGGAAGTCAGGAAGGTGTCAGTGTATGTGGAAGTCAGGAAGGTGCTAGTGTATATGGAAGTCAGAAATGTGTCAGTGTATGTGAAAATCAGGAAGGTGTCAGTGTATGTGGAAGTCATTAAGGTGTCAGCGCCTGTGGAAGTCAGGAAGGTGCTAGTGTATGTGGAAGTCAGGAAGGAGCAAGTCTATGTGAAAGAACGATGTACAATGGAAACCAATCTTTACTAATTCTAAAACCGTTGTATCTGTTTTTTTTTTTTAAAGCGGAGCGGAATTGTCATACATTTATTTTTTAATTCGTCCAATAATTAAAGACTATGAAACAAAGTAGGGCTGACTTCGGTTAGCGTCAGCATTGGATATGTTAGCATTAGGTTGGTTATAGAAGCAACAACAGAAACAATATTGTTGCAATATGCTATCTTGTATACATGTGTTTAGCGAGATAAAAGTTAAATAAACGGTTAGATACTGTTGGTGGTATACAAAACTACAAGATGTACTAAATAACTATCAACAAACATACCTTCTGCCAAGACACCTAGACAAAATATATGCAACTTTCACTACTCTTATTGTCAAGCATTGAGAACTTTACGACCATATGTAACGAATATCCTTTGATGTCAAGACACAACCATCAGAAGTCGACCGCTTTCACAATGCTCTGAACGAGAAGTCAATAACGAGATTCCAGTAGAATAAATCTATGCTGCTGAAGTGCGCAGTTAGAAATATGGCTTTGACTTGAGTCAGTCTTATAAATATTTATAAAGTTGGGGATTCGTGTGGGCCGTCTGTGGGGGATTTGATTGTGATTCAAAATCATGATCAATTAAAGGATAATATTTTGACAACTTGACGTTATCTACTGGTGGATATCAAGCTTGAATGACCCCTAAATATCATTCACTCCTACATCGTTTTGTAGAATGAAAATGCAAATGCAACCACAGTCTACAATCAATGGGTATTATCAAGAATAATATTACGACAGTTTTGTAAAAGTACGTGTGGGAAATACGAAATATGTAACGTACCATAAATTAGGTTTAACGTGGTTAAAATTTTTGGAGTAAAACGTTCCGTTGGTCAAATTTATCAAAAGTTTTATGCCTGGGATGTACAGGATTACTTAAAAGATAAAATCAACCAAAAAATGTCTTAGGTAAATCTTATGAATAAAAAAGACTGAAACAATAACCGCCAAAGGTGTCATCACACACGACGTCCATACAACTACAATACAAGAATCGTGGGAGGCATTTCATTCAGAAGATCATTAACATTTTGACTTGATTCCTTTAGGATCGTATTTAGTCAATGGAGCTTTTTTTCTGACCACAAAATGTTACAAGCTATTATCTTAGTAAGTTATCTGTCTGTATCATTCAGATCATCGTGTCCTAGAGAAAATTATGAAACATCAAACATTCAGTGGTAAAGGTTGAACAATTATTGATAATTTCCATATATATCATGAATGAATTGATGGAGAGTAGGCGTAATTGTAGGCAATAATTAAAAAACAAAGCAGGAAAAGAACAGACGCCAATCGATAAATTATCAGAATAATATCTAAACTACTGGTGTCTGAAATGTCGGGTTAATCTTCAGGGAGACATTCTCATCAATTCATCAATTTCCATAATCCTATGACTCACCTAAGGTCACATCTGAATTTTTTGGTTGCGTAATAGGATTTTTTATGCGCATGTTGAGTTTAAAATGCATGATACATGCATGCATCGGCGTAGCTAACAATCAACAGTAGATGTTATGATGGTAGTCCACTGGGAAAATAGTTGATATCCCCGCACATACACGTGCACATCACTTGCGTATATGGAGTCCATAATGGATCGGCGTAGCTAACAATCAACAGTAGATGTTATGATGGTAGTCCACTGGGAACGCTTGGGATTCTTACTCCGTTTCTCTTGGTTTCTTACGGAAGTTCAAGTCATATGACGCTTGCATGCCAAATACACGTGCGTGAACACTAAGCTGAAGAAATCGGGGATCACATTTAAATGTATCCGTGTGCGTTAATGTCGGAAGTGCAATAGTTAACAAATGTTAAGAGGTACCACACCAGAACCATCAATTCTCTTGTATGAAAAAGCGAAATAAAAGGCGCAATAAGTCCTTTAATTTGTGTTTATGCATGAGTGAAGTTTTTACAATTGTTGTTTTTCTAACTGATGTTTACCCATTTATCAGTCGTCCTGTTGTATCTATTTAACCCACTGACTTGGGTAATCTTTGGCCTAGATTGTAATGTAACCTAGTGTTTTACTGCACCAGTGACCACAATTTACAACTTTATTACAAATTTAGTGACAGTTTATTTCTTTGGCAAATTAGGAATTTTAACAATCTTGAATATATCAGAATATCTAATGATGTACTTCAGCGTCCTTTTGGTGTCGGTCGTACTCTTAATTATTCATTAATATACTGAAGCGACAATAATGTTTCTAACTGACCGTAGAAAATAAGAATATATTACTATGCATTTGTTTGTTCATGATCGGTAGGACGTGTTCGTGTTCAGGTTGCTGAAAAGAATGAACATTACTTTTTATGTCTTATATAAATGAATGCCCACGACTAGCTCGGATATATATAAGAAATATTAAACCCAAGCATTAACGGTCTGAACCGCAAAACGAAACTCATATTAAGTCCAAATTAAGTTTGGCAATACATTGCTTGCAGCTAATGAATTCTTAAAACTTTCATTCTTACAGCATTTCTCGACGAACTCGTTAATTCAGAACGTCCAAATGTAGTTTGATTTGTTCCAAGGACACAAGATTTAATATATTTATCATATTTCTCTCAAAAAAACTAAGGTATCTTATCGCGAAAGTGACTAAAATAAGTAGCTAACTCTTCAGCTATTCTTAAAATGTTAAGATTGTTACTCTAATCCTGGCCACCATGACTAAAATATTTGTAGTATTATAAAACATCAATCAAGTAAGGTATAAAGGTGAGATACCTGGTATTTTTAACACATTTATATATTTATATCTGTACTGAACTCATTACCATTACTATCTCTGTCTTCAACTTTCTATATATACTCTCACTATCTGCTTGATTAATCTCAACAATCACTTGTTAATGTTAATACACGTTGATATGTTCATATCTTAGACCGAAACATCTGACTCTATTCCGGTCTCTGATAGCTATTTTGAAAGTTATCGGCTGAAGTAGAGACAGACTGGCCCTATATAGTGGTGATAACCGCATCTCAGAAGGTACGAGGGTTTTAAACCTATTTATTTAAATTTGATTCGCCAAACCCAGACATATTCGGAAAGATGGATATTTGTGTAGTTCATTCACACCATCATATGATTCCCCCTACACCATTTATCTGCAATCCAGCCGATAACCGTCAGTATATCAGAGACTGGAATAAAGGCAGTTATTTCGGACAACATATATCTATACATTTTCATACTATTTGTCTTGAACGATAAAAATAACCTTTGTTTTATGGATCTGAACCAAAAATAAATTAACGAGTGATTAAGTGGATAGAGTTCTCAAGTTTTTAAGATATTTGATAGTTTCATGGCAACTACAATCTAATAATTTCCTGACGATTGTTCTCTATGAGGTTTCTATTCAGATATGATGACTATGAAGAAAAATAAAGACATCCAGCGTAGGCGTACTGATATATTTCCTGTAGAATATTTATTTATTCCATAGAAATGCTCGATGTAGGATTTCCTGCAAAATATTGATGAATTCCAGAGAAAAGCTAGATATGGGAGATTTCCTGCAAAATATTGATTTATTTCATAGAAAAGCTAGATATGGGATTTCCTGCAAAATATTGATTTATTCAAGAGAAAAGCTAGATAGGGGATTTCCCGCAAAATATTGATTTATTTCAGAGAAAAGCTAGATATGGGATTTCCTGAAAAATATTGATTTATTCCATAGAAAAGCTAGATATGGGATTTCCTGCAAAATATTGATTTATTTCAGAGAAAAGCTATATATGAGATTTCCTGCAAAATATTGATTTATTTCAGAGAAAAGCTAGATATGGGATTTCCTGAAAAAAATATTGATTTATTCCAGAGAAAAGCATATGGAATAAATCCCAATGGCAACAAATTGGCATACAATTGAAAAACATCTACACATCTATGTCAAAATGGCGATCACAAGCAGACAAAATCACGAGGTTAACATGAAATGAGTCAAATAGCCATCTTGGATTATTCAAAGTCAGATGCATGTAGTATATTCGGAGACAAATTTGTAATCATTCGACTAAGATTCAACAGATTCTGCTTCTGTACAAGCACTCTTTGTCAATAAGCTCTGTGGTTATGTCAAAGGAAACTGATTTCTTGCGAAATAACGAGGTTCTGAATAATACAACCGAATATTAATGTTAAAGGTTACAGTAAACTGCGACCACCTCCATAATTTCTTGGCCAATGAGTAATCATTAAGTTTTATTTGAGGACTGGAAATTACATTAAAGGTTGTTGCTTTTTAACTTGGAAGAACTTCAGAGGACCTCCAAAAATAATCATCATTTTCAGGACTAATTGCCTCTTTGAATAACAAGGAACACATTTACAATAATGATATCAAACACCCACACTCACACAATAATGAGTATGTATAATTATTACTGTCTACCTATCGTTTTCAACGATAATTCATAATAACAAGGCATAAAAAATTCGTAAAGATCTAAAAAAAAAAACCTATATACTAAAAACTGTTTCAAGATCGATTCATTACAGCGTCTCTTACAATTATCCATACATGTAGTTCCTTCTATATAGGTTCTAAATAATAAGTGTACATAACTTATGAAAGATCACTAAGAATTCATACTTATGTTTTCAAAATTAAGGAATTAATTGCTTTCATTTCAATACACATTTGATGATTCCCTGTAGTTTTTGCACAGCTGATTTTAGAGATAGGTGCTTGAGGTTAAAACCTTAGTTTTGCTTACTTTCAACACAATAAGCAAGAACAAAATGATGTTAATTTTCAAAAAGCTGCCATCGTTTACTTGGTCATGAATGACGGTTTAAATCCGCGAATTAAGACCAGATGCATTAGTCGG